GGCCTCCATCGCCCCTGTCTCCCTCTCTTGCCCCCTGCCCTTACCCTGTAAGAAGAGCAGAAGTGGTGTTTCGTCAGGTGCGAGTATATTATGTTCAAGCATCGTCTTTACCTGACGGTCGACGCTCGCGCGAAACTTCCAGCGACCCATTAAACCTTGCAGTTGTTCTTGGCACAACTTCAACAGCTATCGCGTAACGAAGCCTGCTCACCCCAAAAGTAAAATCATCGCAATAAGTTTACTGTGGGACTTGGATAGAGGGCGACTAATGAAGGGTTGAGAATGCAGTTCGAAAGCATAGTGCGTAGGCAAGGCATTAAAAAGCTGTTCCGCGATTTCCGGCTTGTACTTGCTGCATATTTAATGTGATCTTACCAATAGCACACTAGGATGTAACACCAATCACAACCTACGGAATCCACGACAATACGAAAAAAAAAAAAAAAAAAAAAAAAAAAAAACAAAAAACACAAACAAACAACCCACACAACCAACACAATACGATATCCACGATATATGCATCGAATACTGAATATTTCCAACGAATACAAATACTCACTTTTGATGATTAGAATGTGTAATGTAGGTGTAGTAAAATGAATGTAGGTGTGCTGCATAGGATCGTTCGCTGTGATGGTGTAGTTGCTGTGGAAGGGAAATACGCTGTGTACGATGTGTGATGTGTGTGCGTGTGCGTGGCGTTGCGTGTGCACTGTGTTGTGTGGTGCGCGTAACGTGTGTTTGCGGTGTGTGTGTGTGTGTGCTTTGTTTGTTGTTGTCCGCTATGCTCCGACAACTTTCGTCCGATATACCGAAAACTTTTAGGCAGACGTTAGCGTAAAACGCGCTACCCAGGCGCTACGCGGCGTCGAGATCGATTCGAGCCCTGTACTTCAATCACAAAAGTGCTGCTGCGGCGCACATGCTGCTGTCACTCACTGTACACGTGTATATCACAAGGGGGTAACTGAGAAAAACCGGCGCGTATCGATGTTACGGTAATGATAATATCTAAAAATATTACAGGCAGGGGGGGGGGGTGGGGTGTGGGGGCGGGGGGGGGGGGGGGGGGGGGGGGGGGGGAGGGGGGGAGGGGGGGGGGGGGGGGCGGGGGGGGGGGGGGGGGGGGGGGGGGGGGGGGGGGGGGGGGGGGGGGGGGGGGGGGGCGGGGGGGGGGGGGGGGGGGGGGGGGGGGGGGGGGGGGGGGGGGGGGGGGGGAGGGGAGGGGGGGCGATAATATCGCAAAAATACGCGGTATACCCGCTGGGCAACCCTAGTATCCGTCCCTTGCTCACACGCTCGATATGGAGATGAGTTACACGTGATAGTAAGATATCGCGTCCGCTTCTCGATGGTGAGAAGGGACGGTTACCAGTCTAAAGGTGCGGTTCACGAGAAAGCTGCAAACGAACATTCAGAATCGAGCAAATCGGCGTAGAATTGTAGTTAAAAAAAGATTTTTTTCAAAGTAGGTTCCAATCATTGACATTATTGTATTAGTCGAGGTATTCGAAAATGACGACGCGAATAACGAATACGTATCGTCCAACAACAATATTCGGTGCACCGAATACGCAGAGTGTATCAATTACAGCCCTAATACACACAATGTCATAATACTACAAAGTGTTTCTGTAAGACTTGTTAAACATAAAACGTGTGGATAGTTAAAAAATCTCCTGCATCTGTATCATATGAAGCTATTTGCTGATTGGCATATGTATTGAACAGTGAAATCATTTGGTAAAAGTAACACGTTCACATTCATCACCTAGAGCTCTGATCTAGCAGGAAGACCTGCGCTACATCCGACTCTCCCGAAAGACATTGGTTCGTTGAGCAACCATCTCTTGCATGTAGACATCCGATCGCGCCACACGTCCACCTCCCTGCACAAAAGCGCATGCATAGCAACTAAGCATCATGAAAAAGTGCAGCAGTAAAACTCTGTCTAACAAGATACTTTTAGTTTAATATTTCCTTCCATATTGGTTTGTGTTCTTGTTTCCTAGGCCGGAGTGTGATTAGTTGAGGCACGCCGGCTATCGTCTCTTTCTGCCACTTGGTATTGGGCAGGCGGCGGGGTGGGGGGGAGGGTTGATTGTATCTTTAGAAAAAGTGACGTTTCTAAAAAATACAATGAGTGGCAAGACCAAACCGGAGATCATTGAAGCAGGAAAAACCGAGATCTCTGAACGAAACCCGCCGATTCTTAGAACAAACGCCGGAATTCCCAGAACGAAATTCGAAAAGCATGTTGAACGAAAACCGAATCTCGGAATCGCAACCCGGACTAACCCGAAAGCGAAGCCCGGAACTCCGGCCCGTCGAGCGCGCGCACTCACTTGGCGTAGGTCGTGTCTCCGACGAAGTAAAGTTCCGGGCGGCGTACCACGCGTCGGCGACGTACGCCGTCATCGCTCCTGGTCGCGCGTCGCGTCCGCGCTGGCACGTCGCGCGCAGAACCCGCAGCGTCGCACACGCTTCACGACGCGCCGTCGACAAGAGAAGCATTCTCGCTGTGCACGTCGCGGTGCCACGATCTATCGGGTACGGCGGCGGCGAGAGCGAGAAAGATCGCGTTCAGAGTGGCGGCCGGTGCCTGCAGAAAGTGTTAGACTGATGTGGAGAGATTGCGTTAGAGTAAAAGCAATTGACAGGGCAGGGGGCGTTATGGATGAGTGAGAGATTAACGTTAGAGGAACTGGCAGAATGCTGTCAGTGCACCAAGGTCAAATGTCTGAGATGAATAGAGATCCAAGGGAGCAAGAGCAAAAATAGAGAAGCTGTTGTGACATGGCCAAACACCTGTAAGTGAACACGAAAGCACTGTTCAGCGAGTTAACAATGCTATCTTTAAATAAACTTCTGAACTTTTATCAACATAGTTTAATGAAATTTAAACTTAAAACTTTTTCAGTAAATAATCGCTTAATTCAATCGAATAATCATTAATTATTATTAACGAATTTAGTTCAACGCTAAGTTAACGAACGATAAATCCTCTATTTCATTCTAGTTCATCGGTTAGCTCTGACGAACGACAACAGCGGCGCAAGCGGCCCATGCGTGCTCACGCCCGTGTGCGTGGCAGAACGTCGATGCCGCGGACGACTTTGGAAACGGGTAAGCTTGGCGCGCGCACTCGTGGCGGTAATCGGCGCGCTCGTAGTGGTGTCAGCTCGAGCCCCGCCCCCCCCCACCCCCCCGCCGGAGGATCGTGTAGTCGACAAAACTCGAAGACCGAGGAAGCATCTTGCCGTCTTGTTGACACCTCCCAGCAGGTTGAACGAGGTTCTCGGTGACGCAGTTGCTGTGTGAAGTCAAGTCGGGGTCAAAGGGTTAATGTAGAGGTCAATGTCAAAGGTGGAGATCGGGGTCAAGTTAATGTCGAGGTGGAGTCGTAGTCATAGGTTAATGTAGAGCGTCAAGGTGTCGAGGTGGATGTGGGTCAGGTTCAGGCCGGTGGGCGCATCACGTGTCAAGGGCAAAAAATCTCTCTCCCATCTAGTCGTTTCTCCCCGACCCCGGTTAACCATTCATGGAGTTAGTATCAATGCCATCTACTGGTGAGGCATGGAGCCCCAGTAGTGTAGGCAGGTGCATTCGCATTGGCAGAAATTGAATCGAAATTTTGTCAAGTCAGGCTGTTTTTCGAAGAGGAGAAAAATCCCGTATAACACTCATAACATGGCACAGTTGCTATCTCACAGCTGCATAAAGTTGCTTTGGGCTACATAAAGGAGTGAAATTATAGGAAGTGCAGCCAGGCCAACTGCTTATGGCAAACCCCTGTCATTGAAACTTAATGCAATTCCATTTAAACTTGGATAATTTACTTATCTGCAAATCTCTTTAAGTTGATCCGTTGTCTTTATGTCCTGTAATGTGGAGTCAGTAGGAAAGCTGAGCAACCAAGGGGGCAACAAATGTTGGCGTACTATACACATACTTGGTTATCGATAGGCTCAATCATCTACATGTTTACCACCATTAACATCCTAATCGCAAGCGCAATTGCTATCTCTTCAGCAGGCCGCTTGCACTCAGGTCCTTCACGATATCTTTTGATTCGCTACAATGGGTCCGAGTCCCTTCGCTCTTGGCTATTGCAAACTAAATAATGATTAAAAAGAGGTTACGTGATGGTAAAATGGAACTTGAAATATTTTAATATTTCAAAGTGCATAGAAACATAGTTAACAAATAATAAGCAATAATACAAAGTATAAGACAATGCAGTGTTAGTTAGCAACATCACTATGATAATACGTATTGCGCTATCGTTGTAATTGTAATTATTGTGCGTATATACGTTCTGCTGACGTTTGCTCACACCAATACAACCTTAATTAACCTAACACACGTCATTCAGTATGAAATTAGAAATGTTAAACCGGGTGATTACTCTTAGGGCTATTACTCACCATAACTTTCCGTCTCGCCATTAGAACTGAACGATTCATATTTATTCACTCATGAGTTCGGAGTCGGATGATGCATCTTTTACAAACCAGTATGGGATAGGCTGTCTCTGAATAAGAAGTAATTACTTGTTCAGTAGTCGTTAGTAGACCTGTAAAAGTTATAATTTTAGGGCAAGAATAAACTCATACGTTTGTCCAGTTATTAATATATTAACTCAGGGGTAAAAATATAACTTTTGAAGCAGCGAGTCCAACCCCAACCCCTAACAAACAACAAGTGCCGCCTACCCTCAAAAAAGAGGAACCGCAGCAAAAATGAGGGAGTCTGGCAAGTCTTACCGTTCAAAACTAAAGTACTTAACAAAAAAGGAGCATTTGCGGTGGGGCACCGTCTGTCCAGAATTTCCTGTCAGACATTTGCTAATTTAAATAATAACGGTAATTGCGCGTGAGGCCGCTGCTTCTGGAATGACTAGTTAGTAATACAGAAATTTTCAGAAGGTAAAACAGACTCTGCAATATGTCAAATCACGGTAGTCTGACAGTAAATTATGGAGTATTGCTACCGATATGGCGGTAATCCCAGTTGGCCTACGCCCATTGTGGCTAACTCCGCGCAGTGCACTGAAATGGACCAGTCGCCCCCACTCGCGCACAGGCCGGATGCTGGGAGTGTAGGCGTACCTGGCTAGAGCTGAACGGAGCGAGGGTGGTGATGTGTGGCATCATCGGCACTGCTTTCTTACTCGGCTTGCTCGCTGCTCTACACACCACTGCAATGTCAAACACACGCATGATAGATAACATATGACTAAAAGGTCAGAGCTTGGAGTTCCATTGTGGTCACTTCGTGGTAAACTTTATCCCCGTTTGGTTCACTCGAGGCTTTATTGATATAGAAATCGGTCTATCGCGCTGGCATAACAACCACATAAGCTTGTAACACAACCAGCAGGGCAGCGGCAAGGCGCGAAACTCTTGCATCCGGCCTCAGTTACTGCACCGTGCATCGTGTAATAGACCAGAGGGAGAGCGGCAGTGCCTACTCTTGCACGAATCATGTGAACGACCAGCAGGGCAGCGGAAACGCGCATAACTCTTACATCCGGCATCTGCTACTCCTCGGTGTATCATGTAATATGACCACAGCCTTGATGCCTGTGCACATTGTAGGTGGCGCCAACCTTGCAGTCTTTATACGTGCAAGGTAGGTGGCGCCACCTTGCAATCTATATACCTGCGAGTTAGTTGGCGCCACCTCACAACCGTGACGCTTGCCTATGTAGGTGGCGCTAGCTCAAAGCAGCGACGCCAGCGTGCATACCTTCGTTGGTTTCTTTTAGATTGGGCAGCGTGATCTCTTCCTTGGCCTTGTCGCGGCGTGCCTGCTTCGCAGCCTCTGTCGCCTTGACGACCGCATCCTTCGGCTGCTTACTTGGCGAAGTGCGGTTCTCCATCCTATGGATAGATGCAAGGGGAAGGTGTAGGAAGAGGTAAGTGGGTGTGTGCGTGTGCGTGTGCCTGTGTTTTAGTGTCTCCGTCCGTGTATGCGTGCATGTGCATTGTGCGTGTGCATGAGTGCATTTTTGTGTTCTCATCGCAGTGCGTGTGCGTGTGTGCCTGTGCCTGTGCGTGTGCGTGTGTGCCTGTGCGTGTGCGTGTGTTAGGTGCTCGTGTGTGTGTGTGAGTGCGTCTGCGTGTGTTACGCGCGTGTGGTGTGTGTGCGCACATGTGACTCATAATAATAGCATACATATTACAACACACGGTGTCGTACCTGATCAACGTGATCATCGTACCTGGGCTGCGTGGCGTTGTGTATCGGTGGCATGAATCGCTCCTTCGTCAGATTTAGGGTCGACTTTCGCTCCGCCTCCTGATGCCACTTGCTCAGGTTGACATGAGACCGCTTGTGCAGGGCCTGCAGCGTTAGGGAGGAGGTCGTTATTAATGAGCAAAGAGGAACAGGAGAGGACCGGGAGAGCAGGAATAAGAGAGCGAGCTGAGGCAGTATGTATAGACACACACACGCACGTGCATGCGCGCACACACCCTACCCTGTCCATACCTACACCACTCCTCGCCACACAGTCCTTTGAATCCCCCCTCACCCGAGTGTGTCGGCTTGCCTCTTCCTCCCCTCTCTTCCCTCTCTCCCCTCCTCCCTCCTCCTCCTCACGTACCTTCTTCACTTTGCGGCGGCTGAGCGGGTTTGCGTCGCGGCCACTGCGAGCTGACATGCGCATCCGCCGGCTCGCCTCGATCTCACGTCGCACCAGCGTCTTCAGCTCTATGAGAAACTCAGCGGCAAAGCCGTCGTGCGTGAAGAGAGGATGCTGCAGTAGCTGGGAGCACGTCGGCCGCTCCGCGCCGTCCATGCGCAGTATGTCCTGTCAGGGAGAGAAGGGGAGGGTGAGTGAAGAGAGGATGCTGCAGTAGCTGGGAGCACGTCGGCCGCTCCGCGCCGTCCATGCGCAGTATGTCCTGTCAGGGAGAGAAGGGGGGGGTGAGTGAAGAGAGGATGCTGCAGTAGCTGGGAGCACGTCGGCCGCTCCGCGCCATCCATGCGCAGTATGTCCTGTCAGGGAGAGAAGGGGAGGGTGAGTGAAGAGAGGATGCTGCAGTAGCTGGGAGCACGTCGGCCGCTCCGCGCCATCCATGCGCAGTATGTCCTGGGGGGGAGAGAAGGGGAGGGTGAGTGAAGAGAGGATGCTGCAGTAGCTGGGAGCACGTCGGCCGCTCCGCGCCATCCCATGCGCAGATATGTCCTGTCAGGGAGAAAGGGGAGGATCGAGTGAAGAGAGGATCGCGCAGTAGCTCGGTAGCACGTCGACGCTCCGCGCCATCCATGCGCAGTATGTCCTGTCAGGGAGAGAAGGGAGGGTGAGTGAAGAGAGGATGCTGCAGGTAAGCTGGGAGGCACGTCAGCCGCTCCGCGCGCATCCATGCGCAGTATGTCCTGTCAGGGAGAAGAAGGGGAGGGTGAGTGAAGAGAGGATGCTGCAGTAGCTGGAGCGCGTCGGCCGCTCCGCGCCATCCATGCGCAGTATGTCGCTGTCAGGGAGAGAAGGGGGAGGAGTGATGAAGAGGATGCTGCAGTAGCTGGGAGCACGTCGGCCGCTCCGCGCTCCATAGCGCAGTATGTCCTTAGGGAGAGAAGGGGAGGGTGATGAAGCAGAGGATGCTGGCAGTAGCTGGGAGCACGTCAGGCCGCTCCGCGCCGTCCATGGGCGGCAGTATGTCCTGCAGGGAGAGAAAGGGGAGGGTGAGTGAAGAGAGGATGCTGCAGTAGCGGGAGCACGTCGGCCGCCCCGCCAGTCCATCCAGGCGCAGTATGGTCCTGTCAGGAGGAGAAGGGAGGGTGAGTGAAGAAGAGGATGCTGCAGTAGCTGGAGCGACGTCGCCGCTCCGCGCATCCATCCAGCGCAGTATGTCCTGTCAGGGAGAGAAGGGGAGGGTGAGTGAAGAGAGGATGCTGCAGTAGCTGGGAGCACTCGGCGCCAATTCCGCCGTCACACCTGCGCAGTATGTCGCGTCAGGGAGAGAAGGGGAGGTGAGTGAAGAGAGGATGACCGGGGCCGCAAAAAGTAAGCTGGGCAGCACACGCTCGCCCGCCCG